ACACACACACATACACACAACACACACACAAGCAATCGTATGCTAGTTGCTTCGGTTGGCTTGCGTTGTGTTGAGGATAAACAGTTTGGTTGTTGCGCTTTGTGTTTGCAGCATCGGTGGATCAGCCTTGGGAGAGAGCAGTAGCAGGGAACAACTGTTGCCCTTACTTCATAAAGTAAGTAAATCTTCACAGGTTCTCTCTCTCTCTCTCTTCTTCTTTTTTTTGCTCTCTAGTTCTCTCTCTCTCTTTTTCTCTGCTCTCTCTTTTTGTCTCTCTCTCTCTCTCTCTGTCTTCTCTCTCTCTCTCTCTCTCTCTCTCTCTCTCTCTCCCCCTCTCTGCTCTCTCTCTCTGCTCTCTCTCTCTCTCTCTCTCTTCATCTGTCATCTCCTCTCTTCTCATCTCGCTCTCTCTCTCTCTCTCTCTCTCTCTCCTCTCCTCTCTCTCTCCCCCCTCTTCTCTCTCTCTCTCTCTCTCTCTCTTCTCTCTCCATCATAGTGCTCTCCTCTCTACATAGATCACTCTCTGTTCATTTCGAGTTAATCACACATTTCTATTTCGCAGTCACACGACAGAGACCACACACTGGGATCACCCCAAGATGACCGACCTTCTACAGCCCCAGCTATGTAAGTAGTAAACAAAGGGGGAGGGGGAGGCGGAGAGGGGAGGGGGAGAGGGGGAGGCGCCAGTGAGAAGAATGTGGGGGAGAGCAAAAGAGCGCGGGGGGGCGCGGCGGCCGGGGGGGGCGGCGCGCCGGGGGGCGGGGGTCGGGCGGGCGCGGCGGGCCGGCGGGCGCGAGGCGGCGGGCGCGGGGCGCGGCGGGCGGCGGCGCGTGGGCGGGGGGGTCGGGGGGGCGCGGGCGGGCGCGGGCGGGGCGAATGGCAGAGGAAAGCACAGGAGGGGAAGAGGAACGGGGCAGTGAGGAGAGAGCAGGGCAGGTGGGAGAGGGGGAAGAAAGGAGCGCGAGCAGGGAAGCGAGAGGGAGAGAGGGGCGTGAGGAGAGGGAGCAGTCAGAGGGCACAGAGGTAGAGGAGCGGCAGAGAGGGAAGGTGGCGGGAGAGCGGGGAAGAAGGAGGCCACAAGAGGGAAGGAGGGAAGAGAGGGGCAGTGAGGGAGGCGAGCAGACAGGGGCACAGAGGGAGGATGGAGTGGACAGACGAGGGAGGAAAGGCAGGAAGAAGGGGAGCGGAGGCCCAGCAAAGGGGGTGCGGGAGAGCAGGATGCAGGCCAGAGAGGCGAGACGGCGAGAGAAAGACGACAGGCGAGAAGGCGCAGCGAGGGAGGCGAGGGGGAGGGCACGAATCAGGGGCATCTAATATCTAGATATCAAGTCCTCACTATGACAAAATAATATAAATAGATAGATAGATAGCCATAATAGGCTTTATTGCAAAACTAGTGCTTAACACGCTCTACAATTAAAATAAATTTTTGCCCAAACAAAGATATTGTAGCCCGTGTAAGTGCGGGCTTACTAGGTGTGGCTATGGTGCAGATATGGTTAGCCTAGCACGATGTAACAGGATGCGCCGTAGACATAAGCGCAAACGCCAACTAGCAGCGAACGTAACGATAACCACAAACAACTGTATTGGTCGTCATTCAACAACAGGTAATAACAACACACGTAGCGCCTACGAATACAACTGAGGACAGGTAGGACACCGGCGGACAGAGAAGTTAGGCTTCCTCGTGTCGCGTTGCCGCTTCCCTTTTTATACGCCGGCGATTCCTGCCTTGCCCCTTTCATTCGAGGCCATATTCCTGTCACCTCTTAGGCTGTTCCAGCGTTCCTATTCTGCCGACCCCCCGCTTTAGCGAGGCGCCGCATCCCATCAGTGTCGCGTGCCACCGTACCCCGCTCTCTCATCTCTTAAGTGACCCATTGAACTAAAAGTCACCGTTCGACACCTATAGCCACTGCGCAACGCTACGCTGCTGCCTACTCTCTTTCCCGCTCGCAATGTGCTTAGCTTAATGAGCTGCTAGCCGCAAAACGATCGCTACACTTACTCCCCATAAAAGAAAGTTGTGATCGCCCCGATCATATAAAACAAAAATTAGGGTCGAGCTGTTGCAGCAGCGTCGATACCGGCACGTTGCAAAGCGTCGTCTATTCGGCGACTAACTGTAGTACGACTACGGATTGGGCACATAACGTGTGACCAGTTTAATATCATATCTGTCAATAATTACCAGCAAACTTCAAATATGCTATTACAAGTAAATACCACGCCAAAACCAACAACAAAATCGCCATATGCCGTGAAGCATAGCGCGTTCCCGCGCTTATACCTAGTTTCTGACCGTTCCACCACCTGCGCATAAACAATTACTTAAATCTATAACACCACGACCACAACCACACCAATACTATACTACTCGCTGCATTCGCGGTTACACGCCGGACGATCGCAGTTTAGATTCCGTCTGGCATTGGATTGTGTGGCTGGTGTGCGCTGATCGCGCGGGATGCGTACGCCTTCCGCCTCGACGGGGGCGTAGAGCTCAGCTGCTCGGCTACGTATCCCGTCGCTCGTGGCCCCCGCGTCCCGCAAGCGCGTCGGAGTCTAAGCCTCGCCTACCCGTCACACCGCTCGGTGCGTGGTGTAGGTGTTGCTCGGGTCGCTAAACCCTGGGTTGGGCGCGCGGACGGCATGCCGACGTTGGCTGCGGCTGCATTGTTCACGCGAACTCGGGAGCCATCACGGCGGCACGGTTGATGACTCGATCGTGGTGGCTCATGTCGTTCACCGGCTTCCTCTGCGGTGCAGCTACGTAGCCAGTGTCCCTCCGGCCTGCCCCGTGCGCGTCCTCGCTTCCCACTCCTCGCGGCTGTCGGCGCCGTAGTTGATGGGGATTGCAGATGACTACAAAGCGCCGAAATGCGTCAGGCGCCGTGGCGCCCGGCGGACCCAAGAGGTACACTGGCCACTGCGAAACCGGCCGCAACGCCACACCTCTTGCCAGCAAACTATGGCTGCATACCCCGCTGGGTGTATCTAACGACGTCGTCCTGAACATATAAAACCGGCTAGCCAAATACGGTGGCCCGCTAGGGCTGTGAGTCCAAATAATGGCTCGAGAATTCGGGTGTGGCTCGGCTACGGCTTCTCGCCTCCCACCATCCTTCAACCTCGATGTTTACGCCACCCGGTGGTAGCAGCGCGCACGATGCCAAGCCCGAGTGGACCACAGGCAGTTTTGCGGACTCGGTAGGTGCGGTATAAATTGCGCACGTTGTACTTGGTGCGCCTACCGATTGCAACCGCGACGACAACCTCGCCGGATATTAAGCAGATACCACCATACCGCGACGTATCTGGGGAATTCGTAAAACTTAGTATGCTTCAAAAATGCGGTCGCTTATCTGACGCGAGCGCGACCTAATATGCGCTGACGACGCGCTTTCGTCTCGCCACACGAGTTCTGACGGAACGCGATCCATGGCGTTCCGATCGCAGGCGTAAGAACGGTAAGCGTATACCGCTCGATACCAACATGACGTGTGCGTGTGCGTGTGCGTGTGCGTGTGCGTGTGCGTGTGTGCGAGTGCGTGTGCGTGTGTTTGTGTGTGTGCATGTGCGTGAGCGTGCGCGTGCGTGCGTGCGTGCGTGCGTGCGCGCGCGTGCATGCGTGCGTGCGTGCGTGCGTGCGTGCGTGCGTGCGTGTGTGTGTGTGTGTGTGTGTGTGTGTGTACAGGGAGGGGAGGAGAAGAAAATGGAGGCGTAGTTACCAGAGAGGAAGACCTGTGGGTTCGGTCCCTGCTCGGCTGAATCTCCATGCTGCGCGATCCAATCATCCATGCCCCGACCATCTGCAAAAACAGAACGTAGATGGCGCTACAGGCAATGCACAGGTGGCGCCACTGCCAGCGAGGTGCCGCTGTAGGGGCGAGTGAGCAGAAAAGGAGAGCACGTGTGATTGGGAGAAGAAGGAGGAGGAGGAGAAGGTAAAGTTGTTTAAAGGGAAATTAGATAAGGAGGAACAAGGAACGCTTATTTTCTTTCTTATTTTAAACGATTATGGAGGGGCAGGGTAAAAGTAGGGCTATCATAACACGGAGAGGAGAAGAAGAAAGAAAGGGGGAAGGCAGTACGGAGGGAGGATAATCCTTAGTATAGGGCGGGGGAGGGGGAAGGTGAGAGGGGGGAGGAGGGTGAATGGAAGGAAGGAGGGAGGAGAAAGGAGGGAGGAGGGAGGGAGGAGGGAGGAGGGAGGAGGAAGGAGGGAGGAGGGAGGAGGGAGGGAAGAGGGAGGAGGGAGAAGGGAGGGAGGAGGAGGGATAAGAAAGAAGTAAGATGAAGTGGGTGAGAAAACAGGATAGGGATGCTGGGAGACAGAGACAGAGACGAGGAGGAAGAGTAGAGAGGAGATCATAGTTATCACTTGGAGGTGACAGGGAGGAAGGAAGAGGTACAGAGAGAGAGAGAGTGAGAGAGTGAGGGAGGAGAGAGAGAGAGAGAGTGAGGGAGGAGAGAGAGAGAGAGAGAGAGGACGGAGGAGGAGGGAA